TCTTACAGGTTTCTTCTGAAGGATGTTTACATTAAGACCTGAGTTTAAGGGCCGGGCGCGGTGGCTCAAGCCTGTAATCCCAGCACTTTGGGAGGCCGAGGCGGGTAGATCACGAGGTCAAGAGATCGAGACCATCCTGGTCAACATGGTGAAACCCCGTCTCTACTAAAAATACAAAAAATTAGCTGGGCATGGTGGCATGTGCCTGTAATCCCAGCTACTCAGGAGGCTGAGGCAGGAGAATTGCCTGAACCCAGGAGGCGGAGGTTGCGGTGAGCTGAGATCGCGCCATTGCACTCCAGCCTGGGTAACAAGAGCAAAACTCCGTCTCAAAAAAAAAAAAAAAGACCTGAGTTTAATTTTTTTTCATATTTGCCCCCCATCATATGCTCATGCTTTCAAATTAAGTTGCAATTTAAATTGATAATACAAAAATGATGGGTCTTAAAATACCATTTTAGTCATAACCTCTAACCATGGTATTGAAAACCATTTCTCGTAGTTTCAGACATTCTTAGGAGCTTTTTAAAAAAATGATTTCTGAAGGGATTCACATATAAGTTGCATGGTAATTGATGAGTTTCTATTTTCCAGAGATTTCTCTGAAATCTATATGTGCATGTTTGTGGGGCCTAATGCTTTCTTAATATTTGGCAGTCTTACCTTTGTGATAGTGAGAATCGAGTAATATCATTCATCAGAGTCTCCCTAGCTTCTTGAGGAAAGAGTTAATGGACAGTGCAGAAATGATATTTTGTGTGTGTGTGTGTGTGTGTGCATGTGCGCGTGCACGTGCACATGGCTTAAATGTCCGTTCTGTAAAGTAGCAATGTGTCGTATTTGTTGTTAGTGCAAGTTATATAAGAAATTGTGGTATCAAATAAATAAATGCAAGTTTAGAGCCATGGTGATGTTCCTCATTCACATCAGTAGGGTTTTTTTTAAAGCATCCAAAGCTGTGATAGGAGCAAAAACTGGTATAATTGGTGACATTATATCCTAATACACCCTCACCTTCTTTGGAAAGCAACTGAGCACTATTTATTGAGCTGTGAAAACAATCTGACCTTTTGATCTGATCATCCCATGTTTGAAAAGTCTTTCCTAAGGAGATTTTTTAAATAATCTGAAAATACTGTAAAAATGGAGGTTTTCCTCATAAGAACAGAACTTTCTAAGTACCTAAGTCTCCAACAATACGGAATTGGCTGAGTAAAGTATAGGAATAACACTTGATGGGCCATTATTTATCCATTACACAGTAAATATTTTCCATTGGTGTGGAGATCATTTGTAAAATAAGACATAAGTTGTATATGGATTAGAGCTATATTTTTTAACATGCATGAGAAAAGCAACTTAAGGCTGGGCATGGTAGCTCACACCTGTAATCCCAGCACTTTGGGAGGCCAAGGCAGGTGGATCACAAGGTCAGGAGTTCGAGGCCAGCTTGGCCAACATAGTGAAACCCTGTCCGTACTAAAAATACAAAAATTAGCCAAGCATGTAGTTCCAGCTACTTGGGAAGCTCAGGCAGGAGAATCGCTTGAACCAGGAAGGTAGAGGTTGCAGTGAGCCAGGATCAGGTCATTGTACTCCAGCTGGGCAACAGAGCAAGACTTGATCTCAAAAAAAAAAAAAAAAAAAGAAATAAAAAGAAAAAGGCAACTTAAAGTAATGGTGGTGAGTTTGTAATTTATAATTTGTAATTTGTAAATGAAGCATTATTTTGACTCTTGGAAATTTCTGTTCATGATAAAATATTAAAGGAATAAGCTAGAGACTTTTACCTATCCTCACCTTTAGTATGATCACATCAGTGTTGCTGATAAACCAGGCATTTTACTTGCAAGTTCAAAAAATCTATCTCAAAATAGTTAAATTTTTTTTTTTTTTAAATTGTATAACCAGGGATTCACATGGTCAATTAGGTACTACTTGACCCAGGGATTAAGTGATCTTAGCATCTGTCTCAGTTCTGCTCTTCTGTTCAGCTCTCCTGAAAAGGCACCCTTCATGATGCCAAAAGGAGCCACTGGTGGCAGCTCCTGGCTGATCAACAGTGCTAGAGTACAGCTCTGCCTTTCTCCTCTGGTTCTTGGGAAGTCCCATGAGAAATGTAATTGATTAGTTTAGTTGTAAGTCACATGCCCACCTGAAAACTCCTGCGTTGAGGGAGTGTCAGCTTGTTATTTGGATTAATTTGGCTTTTTTCTCTGTATGTTATCATTTCTTTTATTCCATCTGCCTTGAATATTTCTTTGAGACATAATCTTGCTCAAAGCTGTCTCTACCTAAAGCTTTTTAAATTTTTTTTTGAGACAGAGTCTCGCTCTGTCACCCAGGCTGGAGTGCAGTGGCGACATCCTGGCTCACTGCAACCTCTGCCTCCTGGGTTCAAGCCATTCTCCTGCCTCTGCCTCCCAAGTAGCTGGGACTACAGGTGCACACCACCATGCCCAGCTAATTTGTTTTGTATTTTTAGTAGATTTCAGCGGGTTGGTCAGGCTGGTCGCAAACTCTTGAACTTGTGATCCACCTGCCTTGGCCTCCCAAAGTGCTGGGATTACAGGCATGAGCCACCACCCCCAGCCCGCTTGGATATTTCTTACATTTAGGTAGTAGCACTGGGGTCATGTAGTACCTAATTGACCATGCATTTAAATACATAGTAGCACATCTTGGTTTTGGGGGTGTATGTGTGTGTGAAGCCTGCTCCTCTTTGATTTTGGTACTTCATTTTCCTGGACTTTCCTTTCATTGAAAATTCTTAATTAAACTTTATCATGACAGAGGTACTGATTCGTAATATGGCTTCTTCTGTAAACATTACTTATTTTTTAGATTCAAATGGTAGTATATTTGTTTTCTTTTTGATAGGAAGTAGTCATGAATCCTTTTAGAAGCTTTAGGTAGAGGCTGGGCACAGTGGCTCATGCCTGTAATCCCAGCACTTTGGGGGAGTGAGGTGGGCAGATCACAAGTTCGGGAGTTTGAGACCAGCCTGGCCAGCATGGTGTAACCCAGTCTCTACTAAAAATACAAAAATTAGCCAGGCATGGTGGCGCACACCTGTAGTCCCAGCTACTCAGGTAGCTGAGGCAGGAGAATGGCTTGAACCCAGGAGCCAGGATGTCACCACTGCACTCCTGCCTGGGTGACAGAGCGAGACTCTGTCTCAAAAAAAATGAAATTAAAAAAAGCTTTAGGTAGAGACAGCTTTGAAAGTCTCTGCCATCATTTTATGTGCAAATGATTTTATTTTTCCAAATAGCTTAACATTGTCACATCATCTTTTCAAGATGTAGCAAAACTTTAAACATAATTTTTATGGGGGTTTTTTACATAACAATAGTTTTCTCCAAAAACAGTTTAATAAACTTCAAATCAGTGAAGGAATTTCCATGGAGAACAAAGCAGTTGGTTTAGGTATGTAAGTTTTTAGTGATCTGGCAGTACTATTAAAATTGATGATTCATATTTTTTTAACCAATAAGTCCTAAGTTATGTTCAGATAAGATTCCAACCAAATTACTTTGAAGGGAGAAAACTATTCTAGGTAGATAAATTTGTGAAATGCTGAGCTAGACAGTGTTCACTACTAAACTGATTAATTTTTAATATATCAATGTGCATTTTGATTTTGTAAGAGCCAGGGATAGAGTATATTGTCATTTGACCACTAAATCCCGTTTTTAAAAGTAAAGCAATTATATTAATATGTAGTTTTGGGAAATGTTACCTTAACTGTTACCCTGGATCTTGGCCCGGTTCAGTTTCTTAGAAGATTGGTTAAGATAAGTGGCTTGAAATAGACCTTGTGGGCTGGCTGCGGTGGCTCACCCCTGTAATCCCAGCACCTTGGGAGGCCGAGGTGGGTGGATCACCAGAGGTCAGGAAATTGAGACCAGCCTGGCCAACATGGTGAAACCCCATCTCTACTATAAATAAAATTAGCAGGCATGTGGTGGTGGGCCCTGTAATCCCAGCTACTTGGGAAACTGAGGCAGGAGAATTGCTTGAACCAGGGAGGCGGAAGTTGTAGTGAGCTGAGATTGTGCCACTGTACTCCAGCCTGGGCAACAGAGCAAGACTCCATCTCAGAAAAAAAAGGACCTTGCTGAAGAATATCATAGATTTTTCTTTTTTCTCCTCATGACAACTTTTGTTATCCCATAAAGTTTGTTTCATGAAAATTCAAGTGTCTGTTTTGTAATCTTGCCTAAATACATTATCCAACTTTGGTGGAAGGTGGACTGAAGGCAGATTTATCTTGACATAGATGGGGCAAAAATTTTTTTAGAAACAGCCCTAAGATCTGCTCCAAATGTACTCTTGATGAAACACCAAATTAACCGTGCTGTTAGAAGGAAGAAGTGAGAAATTGAGGACAAATTTTCTAACATGTTCCCATATTTACAACATAGAACTTTTATTCAGTCCTCTTGAATCTGCCGTAATGAATAACCCCCCAAAAAACCACAGCTAACCAAATTAGTTCACTGGTTGAGTGGAGTTAGAATTAGCCATTTGATTGACCAAAGAACATTTGTCAAAAACAGCTCTTTGTTTTACCACATTTGATGTGTTGAGCTGGTGCCTAACAGTAATTGGCCATAGCATCACTTGCTACTTGGGATTGTTTTTGAAATGTGCTAGCAATAGCAGCAGATAGGAGAGTGGTTATATTTCTGTTTGGTAAGTTGAAGGAGGAGGGCATGTATATGATTCGTCTAAAATTTGAATCAGATTATTTAGGCACAGATTTTTTATTAAAAGTCTCAGACACAGCCTGGTTTTGTTCCACATGATGTGGAGAGATTCTACAATTTTGTATTCCCCAGTATCATTTCTGTATTGTTGTATTTATTTCCTTCATATTTATTATTTAAAACTTCTCTGAAGACTGTTAAAAGTTATTAAAATGGGTGTGTATCTATTTCAAAAATCATCTTTTCTATTCACCGAAAGTATCCCATCTTCTTCCTCTTTTTATATAGATTTAGCTTTGGAGTCAAACCCTTCTGACCATCCAAGGGCAAGCACAATTTTCCTGAGCAAATCTCAAACAGATGGTAAGAGAATACTGTTTTTTCCTCCAAGGAAAAGACTGAAAACTTTTTCTGTTTTGTTGGATGTGTTATAGAAAGTATTTAGAAGAACTGGTATATTTAAAAATTTCTTTTCATATGTTCACTTATTTTAATATATGATATGCTTCCTTTAGTTGTGATTGTTTAGTAATAACATGTAGACCTTCTACTTACAGGTTTTGCCACATTTTTATCAACACAATTAATTGGCCACATGATTCAGTAACATGGATTATTTATTTATTTATTTATTTTGGGAGTTTTACTCTTGTTGCCCAGGCTGCAGTGCAATGGTGCAGTCTCGGCTCACTGCAGCCTCCGCTTCTCAGGTTCAAGCGATTCTCCTGCCTCAGTGTCCTGAATAGCTGGGATTACAGGCATGTGCTACCACACCTGGCTAATTTTGTATTTTAGAAACAGGGTTTCTCCATGTTGGTCAGGCTGTTCTTGGACTCCTGACCTCAGGGGATTTGCCTGCCTCTGCCTACCAAAGTGCTGGGATTACTGGTGTGAGCCACCGCACCTGGCCTTTTTTTTTTTTGAGAGGGAGTTTCACCCTTGTTGCCCAGGTTGGAGTGCAATAGTGAGGTCTCAAGTGATTCTCCTGCCTCAGCCTCCCAAGTAGCTGGGATTACAGGTACCTGCCACCATGCCTGGCTAATTTTTGTATTTTTAGTAGAGACAGGGTTTCACCATGTTGGCCAGGGTGGTCTCGAACTCCTGACCTCAGGTGATCTGCCCACCTCAGCCTCCCAAAGTGCTGGGATTACAGGTGTGAGCCACAGCACTCGGCCAGTATTATGGATTTATACTACTTCTCCATGCTTCTTTGACCTCTTTCCCTTGCTCTAAAAGAATACATTTTAAAGATGAATGGTAAGATTTAAGCTACAGCTTGGTTTCATTTGAACAAATCAAAAATATCAGTTCATATACAGGGATTAAATCTGTGATTTTGGCTTCCTTTTATAAATGCTCTAACCACATGAGCCTATCACATTCAAATTTATGCTACTCAGAACTTTTAAGCTATTAAAAGTTTTTCATCCTAATGTAATGTAAATGTAAACAAGCCCTATGGTGTTTCCCAGAAGGTTTAGCTTCAGCAAGTGAAACTCACGTACATTTTCCTTTCCTACTTGTTTTAGGATGAGAATCAGAACTGCCATATCTTTCTGTACTCCTGTTTATCTTCCTTAACATTATGTTAAATCCTAATTTGTTTGTTAAAAAGCCGTACACAGCTAGGTTTTTCAGTTGATTTCAACAGCAAGAATACACGAAGTGAGAGTTCTACAATATTTGAAGTAATGCAGCACAACACAAAATGGGGGTTTCTAACCTGCATTTTCGAAGCTTGTGTGGACTTTGTCTTGCGCTGATCATTTCTGGTTAGAATAGTTGTATTTCTCAGTTTATTTCAGAGCCATAGGCCTGTCACATATATAGAGTGTGGAAGCAGTAAAAGAAAAGCTTCCATGTTCTCTCTTCAGTAGTAAGGAGTGTGTGCTTGTGATACTTGTCTAGCATCAAAGGAGGAGGCAGTAGAGGAAACAAAGCATGGCCCAAGTCCCTCTTGGAGCTTTTTTATTATTCTGGCCTTTGTTAAAATGATTTTGTGTACTAAAGATACCATGTTCAATTAGGTTAACACACTCATTTTAACATTTAAATTTAAGATAGTTTACTTTCCACTTGTTTAAAAGACCCATTTATTTTTTCAGTAACATATTAGAAGATGGCTAGTTAAGTGGTTCAGGATGCTTCTAGGGATTGTGATGCAGGTAGAGATTGGTACCTAGCCAGAAACTGGCTCTTAGAGCTGTCAGTTATTAGATCTTGATAATTAAAGTGAGCTACCTGTAAATGTAGAATTTAAACATACTACTGGATGATGGTTCAGATATGTAACAGGTAAACTTACTAGCTAAATTTCTCATTTACCCTAGTTTGTTTTTTCCTTTTCTTTTGTACTTAGGAATTCCTTCATTTGTATGTAATAGAATATCTCTTAGGTCAAAAAATTAAAACCAAGTTTTTAGATTTTATTTTATGAGATTCATCTTGCCAGATGATTTAAATGATGAGTTTTGTTAGAAATTATTTTTTAAAGTGAAATTTTATCTGATTTTATATATTGATAATTCATCAGATGATTAGCAACTACTTTTATTCTATGGCATTTGTATCAGAATTGATCAGTTAATTTTTTTTATTCTTAGTGCGAGAAAAGAGGAAGAGCAACCATTTAAACCATGTAAGTAAACAGTTGAAAAGTTAAGAAATTAAATAATTGATTTAAAAGTATGTCTGTCATGATTCAGTAAAAATATAATGGGACCCAATACTGTTACTATCGGCCTCTTTTTGTGGATTTTTAAAATCATTTTTATTTTCCTAAGAATCAAATGTATGCAGGAGAGTCTTTGACTTAATATGCTCTTTTTGTATGGGTTTCTGACATTTAAGTTAAATTTCGATAATTTGGTTGTGGTATAACTATCTGCCTTAATTATTTTTCCTTAATTTTTTAATCTTTTTAAAAATCAAGTAATAAAATTACTTGAGCACTCAATTTTTAGCACTATTATGTTGACTGCCTGTCATAGCAGGTGAAAGCTTAGCTTCCTCACTCCACCATTACCTTATTTTCTTCCTTCTATTTTTCCCACGTGTCACATTTTAAGTTAAATCAGTACTTCCTGTTTACATTATTATAATTATGCAGGTATTATTCACTGCTGAGTTATATAGTATTCTCACTGTCTTCCTTCTTTTGCATTCTTTGTTTCTCTTAAATATTTCTGAAATCTGAGCATATCTGCACTTCTCTTTTCCTAGCCTTTATTAGCTCACACAGCTAAATGCAATAAGTAACCCTTGACTGGTGTCGCTGCATTCATGTACTTTATTTTTTATGGAATTAATTTCCTGACTATATTCATTTGACTGTTTTCTAACAGCTATTTTTTCCCCTAAATGTTGTAGCATTTGCCACATGCGTATCAAGAATATTTTCCATCTACTAAAACATATCTGTTCTATTTTCTCTTGGTGACAACTTTCCTCAGCCTTTGGTCATCCTCCTCAAATATAGATGGGCTTTTCCTAAGCCTGGTCTGTGCCTATTTTCCTGGGATATCTCTATGAAGTCATCTGGGATCGCGCATAACTGTCCTCTTGTGTTGGGTTCTCTAAGTCCTAGATTCTGTGTTTCCCTCTATCTTGTTATCCTTCCTAGTTGTACTGGAGCACATTTTCCTGGGAAAGGGCCCGTAGACAGACATATTTAGAGATCTAGCCTGTCTGAAAACCTCTCCTATTTTTTTTTCTCTTTTTTGAGACAGAGTCTCTCTCTGTTGCCCAAGCTGGAGTGCAGTGGTATGATCTCAGCTCATTGCATCCTTAACCTACTGGATTCAAGTGATCCTCCCATCTCAGCTTTCCAAGTGACTGGGACTATAGGCATGTGCCACTATGCCCAGCTAATTTTTATATTTTTCCATAGAGATGGGGTTTCGCCATGTTGCTCAGGCTGATCTCGAACTCCTGGGCTCAAGTCATTCACCAGCATCGGCCTTTCAAAGTGTTGGGATTATAAGCATGAGACACTGCACTTGCCAAAGCTTCCTGTTTCTAAAGAGTATAAAATCCTAGGTTGAAACTAAATTTTATAGTTCTAAAGACATTTCTCTATTGTGTTCTCCTTATAGTATTTTTGAATCTGTTGCCATTGTGTGATACAGTACATGTAACCAGCTTTTACATTTCTCTGGAAGCTTTTTAGTGCCTTCTCTATCCCTAAGATCCTGAAATTTCATAATATGGCTTGCTATGGACCTTTTCTTTTTCTTTTTCTTTTTCTTTCTTTTTTTTTTTTTTTTTTTTTTTTTTGAGACAGAGTCTTGCTCTGTCACCAGGCTGAAGTGCAGTGTCTCACTACAACCTCTGTCTCCTGGGTTCAAGCAGTTTTCCTGCCTCAGCCTCCCAAGTAATTGGGACTACAGACACCTGCCACCACGCCCGGCTAATTTTTTTTGTGTGTTTTTAGTGGAGATGGGGTTTCACCATGTTGGTCAGGATGATCTCGATCTGACCCTTGTGATCTGCCCGCCTTTGCCTCCCAAAGAGCTGGGCTCACAGCCGTGAGCCACCATGCCTGGCCTGGACCTTTTCTTTTTACTGGGACCAATAAGTCTGTAGACTATGCCTTCTAGAGAATTTTCTTGTTTCTTTGTTCCTTCTTTTTCCTGATACTCTTATTCAGATGCTGAGCTTCTTAGACCAGTGTTTCTGCATTGGTCTTTAATTCTCTTCCCCCATACTCCCCCTTTTTCTAGTTAGTCTTTTGTTCTAATTCTTGGGCATTCTTTTACTTTACGCTCTAACCCTTCTATTGAATCTTTTATCTTTTTGAGGGTGTTTTAAGAATTTTTTTAAAGTTTTCATTTGCTCCTGAATTTTCACCACTCCCATGTTTTTCTTTTTCCTATTGTTTTGCTCTCTCTTGTTGGAGGCTTCCCTCAAATGTGTGATAGTCCCTGGCTTTCTCTAATTAGAAGCACGACTTTTGTTAACTGATGGTTCTTACTGCAAGAATTTGGAGGCCAAGCCAGCCTTTAATTTAGGAGACCTCAGTCTGTTATCTGGTGGGTCTTTTCTCATTTTCTTTTCCCTTTTTCCTCTGCTCCTTCCTCTTTTCTCCTTTCCCTTGTCCTTTCTCCTGTCCTTTCCTTTGCTTTTCTTTCTGACTCTCACTCTGTCACCCAGACTAGAGTGCAGTGGCGTGATCTCAGCGCCCTCTGCCATGATGCAACTCTTCCTCCCAGGTTCAGGCAATTCTTGTGCCTTAGCCTCCGGAGTAGCTCAGATTACAGGTGTGTGCCACCATGCCTGGTGTTTTTTGTTTTTTGTTTTTGTTTAGTAGAGACAGGGTTTTGCTGTGTTAGCCAATCTAGTCTTGAACTCCTGGCCTCAAGTTCACCCACCTTGGCTTTCGAAAGTGCTGCGATTACAGGTATGAGCCACTGTGCCCGGCTGGGTGCATCTTTTCTGAGACTGTTCATTTCTTCAGAGAAGAATCTCCCAGTTTTCTACCTGGGGAATACCAGCATGGCTGCTCACTTTCCAGAAGGGGAGTTGGAAAAGAGAGGTGGAGTTCCCCTTCTCAGTGTATAGTTGTTTTTTTTTTTTCCCATTTCCCACATTTCAGTCCTAGTATCTCTGAGCCCAGAACCTTCTATATTCATTATAAGATGGGAGGACAGGTGGACCTTGGACTCCAACTACATATTTTCTTTTCTTTTTTTTTTTTTTTTTGAGACTGAGTTTCGCTCTTGTTACCCAGGCTGGAGTACAATGGCACGATCTTGGCTCACCACAACCTCCGCCTCCTGGATTCAGGCAATTCTCCTGCCTAAGCCTCCTGAGTAGCTGGTTTTACAGGCACCCACCACCATGCCCAGCTTATTTTTTGTATGTTTAGTAGAGATGGGGTTTCACCATGTTGACCAGGATGGTCTCGATCTCTTGACCTCGTGATCCACCCGCCTCGGCCTCCCAAAGTGCTGGGATTACAGGCTTGAGCCACCATGCCCGGCCTTGTTTTCAACTGATCTTGCTGGTTTTTGTGTTTCACTCTACCCTCCAAGGTACCATATGCCTCTCAGTTTGGAGCCTGCCTTGGGTTCTGCAAAACAAACTAATTTGATTGTTCCTGTTCCAGTCATTCTCTGTAGGCACTAAAGTTGCGCTTCCATATCAGTTACCACTCCTTTGTCTTTTTCATCTTTCAAGATTTATTAAAAATCATCTGCTGTGGCCAAGTGCAGTGGTTTATGCCTGTAATCCCAACACTTTGGGGAACTGAGGCAGTCAGTCACCTGAGGCCAGGAGTTTGAGACCAGCCTGGCCAACATGGTGAAACTCTGTCTCTTATAAAAAATATAAAAATTAGCTAGATGTGGTGGCACGTGCCTGTAATCCCAGCTACTTGGGAGGCTGAGGCAGGAGAATCGCCTGAACCTGGGAGGCAGAGGCTGCAGTGAGCCAAGATTGTGCCACTGCACTACAGCCTGGGCAACAGAGCAAGACTCTGTCTCAAAAATAAATAAATAATAAAATAAAACAAAAATTAAAAAATTATCTGCTGTCAGTCCTGTTGCTGGATCCTGTGTATAACCTTTATTTTATGTCTTTAATTCTAATGAAATTTCAAGAGAGCAAGGAAGTAAATTTGTGGTCAATCTTCTATGTTTAATCCAAATTTAGAACCTTTATTTAAAGTGTAAATCTTAAGTTTAAATTCAACATAACGATACTAATCCAGACACTTTTTAGTATACCTATAAACATATTACACTCTTCTACTAAGGCTTTAGGAATTGTATTCAAACTCTGTACCCTGTTATATTGTCCCATTAGTATGCAACATAGATGGAGGTGTTTTCATTAATGCAGTGTCAGAAATTTTTAGGTTAGTTAAAAGTCATTAATTCTTTTTTTTTTTTTTTTTTTTTTTTTGAGACAGAGTGTCGCTCTTTTTACCCAGGCTGGAGTGCAATGGCACGATCTCGGCTCACCGCAACCTCCGCCTCCTGGGTTCAAGCAATTCTCCTGCCTCAGCCTCCTGAGTAGCTGGGACTACAGGCATGCGCCACCATGCCCAGCTAATTTTTTGTATTTTTAGTAGAGACGGGGTTTCACCATGTTGACCAGGATGGTCTCGATCTCTTGACCTCGTGATCCACCCGCCTCGGCCTCCCAAAGTGCTGGGATTACAGGCTTGAGCCACCGGCGCCCGGCCAAAAGTCATTAATTCTTAAACAAATCTAACCCTTGTAAAAAGGGAGAGAAAAAAATGAATTTCTGTTTTTTTTGTTTTTTGTTTTTTGTTTGGTTTTTAATGGATTAAAATAAGGCACAATGGGAAAAGTCAGTGGGTAGGTATGGGAGTTCAGCAGGTACTTCATCTTTGGTAAGGTTTGAATTGTGACTCAGTAGACTACTAGGTATGATTATTTTCTATCTTTGCTATTCTTCCTTAAGTCTACTTGGTACCCTTTCCCTTTCTTGTTAAAGATTGTCATTTGTGCTGACCAAATGAAGATCAATATACATTCTTTGTCCCTATTTTGTGACTACCTGAAATAACATCTGTGAACTTTCAGTAGTGTTTCCTGTTTGTATTTTCTTGTTTGTCAGTAGAGTTTGTTGAGGTTGTAAAGCAGCATTGGTAAGGGTTTAGCCATAAAGGATAATTGTTGAGTTTTCCAGCAAGATGATGGGGGGATTACCTGTTGGCAGCTATAATTGCTTTGCTCAGAAGCTTAATTCTGCCACCCTCTATAGTCTCAAGAGATATCGGGATGCTCTTGATAATAAAACATTTGAAAGTTGGTGTGTCTCATGCCATATATTGGTTAGCAGAGAGTTTTTGCATTCATTTTTTCCAGTCATTTTGAAATTTGGGAATTGCCTGGTGGAGAAATAAAAGACAGTAGAAATGGCATTTTCTGGAGAGTAACATTTCCCCATCAGCCCAGGCATACTCTAAACTCCTGCTTAAAGAGAGAGTAACTGACTTAAAGAGAGAGTCAGTTACTCTCTCTTTAAGCAGGAGTTTAGGGTATGCCTGGGCTGATGGGGAAATGTTCAGTATTTATTTGACTGGATCCAGCCAGTAAGCCATAAGTTGCTGGTTGACTGAGGAGCTCCCATAGGATTGAAAGACTACATTTAATTCAAAATTTCAAATGGTTTAGCACCAATATTTGCAAAGATAAATCAATATGCATCCATGATAGAAACTACCCTATGAACTAGGATGGGCTCATTGGCCTATGACTGTAATACTAGCACTTTGAGAGGCTTGAGCCCAGGAGTTTGAGACCAGCCTGGGCAACAAAGGGAGACCTAATACCTACAAAAAAATTTAGAAACTAGCCGGGTGTGGTGGTTCATGCCTGTAGTCCTAGATACTTGGGAGGCTGAAGTGGGAGGATTGCTTGAGCCCAAGAATTCAAGGCTGCCATGAGAATTGACTTTTGGTATGGTGTAGTATATACCATATTGCCCTCAAATAGTAGTGATCTTAAAAGATACCATCTTCCACTTTGTTGTTATTATTTGGAGATGGAGTCTTACTCTTTTACCCAAGTTGAAATGCAGTGGCACAATTTGGTTCACTATAACCTCCATCTCCTGGGTTCAAGCGATTCTCCTGCCTCAGCCTCCTGAGTAGCTGGGATGACAGGCACTAACCACCACATTTGGCTGATTTTTGTATTTTTAGTAGAGATGGGGTTTCTCCATGTTGGCCAGGCTGGTCTTGAACTCCTGACCTTAGGTGATCCACCTGCTTTGGCCTCCCAAAGTGCTGGAATTACAGGTGTGAGCCACTGTGCTCGATCCCCCCTTACACTTTGAAAGTATTTGGGTCAGTGTTCCTTTTTCATACTGTATTTTTTTCAGACAATAAAAGTATATGCATTAACACACATACACAGTTAATGTAAACTATATGCATTAAGTAGCTTAAGAAACATGGGTTTAGATATAGTTGAAACATTTCTAGCTTGAAGGAGAATTTGGTCTTTCAAATAATAATACTTTCCAAAAATAGAACATCTGGGACTTTTTGTTAGTAAGAATTAAGTGACTACAGTAAAAATGTTTGAAACAAAATCGTGTTATACTGTATGGATATTTCTGATTATTCACTGTTGGCAATTTTTTAATGCATACACTTTTAAAAGCAACAACTAGATCTCCCTGCCCTGTCTTTCATGTATACGTGGGGGATACTGATGGGAGAGTATATCAATATTGTTAAAACTATCATATTAATAGGAAGAAGGAAGGCTCATCTGAATTCGTTGCTTTTTTTTAAGTGTTAAAATTATTAGTATTCTGTGGTTTTCAAAAAAATGCTACTGTTACTTTCAACTATTCCGTGATTGGGATTTGGTTACTGACCTTATTTTTAAGGAAGAGAATTGTCTTAACATAGTCTAGGCTGTTTCAGTATTTGACTTATTGCACTTTTCCCAAATAAATGGATACTTCTAAAGTGTTTTAAAGATGGTTTATTTTCTAGAGGGCCCAAAAAGTTCATCGTTACCTCTCTGATGCAACTGCAGATAAATTCTGATTTGTGTCTGTAGTAGTGTTTACTTTCCAAATTGTAACTGATTTAAATAATTTGTCAAACACTTGTTGAATTCCTTAATTTGTCCCCATTCTGTGCTAAGCAGCCAGAAGTATGAGGAGGATGAGTCCTCCCTTCCCTGGAGAAGCTTACTTTCTTAGGAGGGGATACTCCACAAGCAGTTGGTATCGTGTAACAAGTGGTGAATTAGATGGATGAGTGTACCAAAAGGGAAATGTTTTGTGGTATGATTGGTGGCAAAGGGATCCCAGAAGGTAGATGGGGTTAGGCTTGTTGGGATATGAAGGAAAAACAAGGTATTCCAGGCAGAGCAGCATGAGTGAGGCAGGAAAGTGCCATGATGCCTGTCAGATAACTTACAGAATAAAATTAATAACATTTTGAAATGAATGGAGAGTGCTCTCTGAGGTTCTCATTTGAATAATGTAATGGCAGTCATTCTCATTTGAATAATATGGCAGTCTTATTTAAATATGAAGTGAAAGTTAAATTCCTAAAGTTGTTCTTGTCATCTTTTTTTTGGAATATTACTTTTTCTCCTCCACATAAAAAAACAGACCTTCTCACTTGTGGGTGATGGAGCAGCCCTGGCAGACAGTCTCTGACTGTGAACCACTTGTTTCTCACACTGTCTCCTGAAAGAATATATTTAGTAATAGTAACTTAGTAAATGTAGTGTTATTAGGCTTTCATTTACTGCAGTAAAATGCTCTCCTGCAAATGTGATTTGCAGGTATTACATTTTACTGTAGTAAATGAGTAATAGAAGAATCTCAGCTGCTTTTTATTGATTAAGAAAAAACACTGTACTCTTATTGTAAACTTTTTCCATTAATTTATACAGGGAATTTGTAACAGATGCTTGCCAGATTTGATTATAGGTACCACAAGAGCAGCATTTTATAACCCATTCTTCAAACATCTGTGGGAGAGCCTCCACTGGGTTTCCCATAGAGCTGCACATGATACCACACTCAGGCAGTTCATGGAGTATAAGAAATATCTTAATGCTTTATCATTTGCCATTTTAACCAAGGAAAAAAACACACTTTTATAGGTTTAACTTACTGTGACATTTTCTTCTATTTCCCTTCCCCTTCTTCAGGTATCTCCAGGGCAGCTTACTAAAAAGTATAGCTCATGCTCAACAATATTTCTAGATGACAGCACAGTCAGCCAGCCTAATCTTAGAACCACAGTAAAATGGTGAGTACAACTAGGCTGCCAAGGGCTGAGTGACAGACCCCCTTATGCTAAAAGCATCCCAGCCATCCTCGGTAATTTCAGCCATTTGATTGTCCTTTTCAGCAATCAGTTTAAGAAATTGGTATCAATTATATATTGATTTCAAGGACCTAAATATGAATTTTCATTTTCTGTTTCAATCTTAGGTTGCATGGTGGAAAGGAAAGCCAGTTAGTGAATAAATAGTCCCCGAAAAAGTGTAGCTATTTATTTAATGCATTTATGTTAAGATAGTGTTGAACATAAGAAGAAGGAGAGGTGCTTTTTATTGGATGTTTCTGGAAAAAACATTAGTTTGTTTTGAGTTACAGGCCTAAAGCTATGTGTACCATTTTGGAAACCACTCTTGGAAGAAGGAACAGCTTGTCCGCGACTGGCATCTTAGTGTACATGCATTTAAATTTTCCCTGTTGTGCATGAACACCTCTGGGGGACCATCTGAGATGCACCTTCAGAATGCCCTAAGATGAACCTTTCAAGTTTGTTTAAAAACTGCCACCACCACCAACAACCAACTCTATTGGGGTTGTCAGGAAACTATTTACATCTCCTTGGATTATGAGTGTTGATTTTCAGAACATAGTTCGGGAAGTGCTACACTAGAATATTAATGCCCTTATCCCTAATTTTACTTTTCAGTCTAAAAACATAACTAGCTTATAAACTTAATTTTGTTTCTAATGTACTAGCTTTTTTTTTTTTTAGTTAATTCAATTGTCAGTAACTTCTATTTTAAAAGCAGCAAATTTATGCTCATAATAATGTCACATTCTTCTCTCACCTATAGCAGTAGTTGAGATCGAATTGTGTTTCAGCACAGACTAGACTCTGACTCTGTCTAAAGTCCTGAGTTTTGGCACCTACTGAGTAATCATTGAATGTATTCAGCTAAGATCCCAAATCCTTGAGTAAAAAGACCACTCCACTTGGCTAGAGTCCCGGGCATCTTTTGAAATTCAAAAGATGCTCATGTGTCAGTATAAGATTCAAAAGTAGTTTTAAAGATTAACCTTGCTCAAACAAGTATAATAGATACCATGCTTTTCCCCCTACTTTAGTCTAACTTTTAGAAATCTACTTTTGGAAGTACAGTAAGTTGTAATTTGTTCTCAGTAAATTTTAGAAATGATTATTTGGTATAATTCATTGTTGGTTGAATAAAAGTTTCAGTAATAGGGCAAACTGACTTGGAAAGATTTTGAAAACTATTTATTATGGCTTAATAGTGCATTATTCTCATGGGATGGGTGAGCTATATCATAATCACTTATGCAACTTTTTTTCAAAATGTATGTCTATAAACACATCTCACCTCCACTTTCCATTGATCTCTAGGCAGTCGAGCCTTTTAGGAAAATGGAGAAGGCACTTGAGGCATAATTATAAGGATAAGCACATCCTAGATGATTCTGATCTTAACCCTAACTCAGTCATTCCCAAACTTTGCAGCACATTGGAATCATCACCAGGGGAACTTTAAAAACAATCCTCATGCCTGATGCAGTGGCTCACGCCTGTAATCCTATCCTAGCACTTTGGGAGGCCAAGGTGGGTAGATTGCCTGAGCTCAGGAGTTTGAGACCAGCCTGGGCAACACTGTGAAACCCCGTCTCTACTAAAATACAAAAAAATTAGCTGTAATCCCAGCTACTCGGCAGGCTGAGGCAGGAGAATCGCTTGAACCCAGGAGGCAGTTGTTGCAGTGAGCGGAGATTGGGCCATTGCACTCCAGCCTGGACGACAGAGTGAGACTCAGTCTCAAAAACAAAACTAAACAAAAACAAAAACAAAAACAAACAAAACCAATCCCTGGATCTCAAGTCATACCCAATGCGAATTAAATCAGAATGTCTCAACATGGAAGTTAGGCAGTTTTTAAAGCTCCTCAGGTGATTGCAGTGTGCAGAAAGTTTGAGAACCAATGCTTAATTGAGTGCAGGAGGATGAACTGCTTCTATTTGGTGGGACCTTGGGCAAGTCAGTTTTAAGCCTTGGTTCCCAGATCTATAAACTGGGTGTTGGATTAAATGTCGTGTAAGGTTCCATGGTCCTTTTCAGCATATAACTTCAAATTCTGTAATGTTAAAATCAATTTGGACATGAAACTGTTTGAAGCACTATAGAAGTATCCATCTTACATGCTAATAATGTTACAGGCTTTAAAAAGTGCTAACATTGTGTAGATTTACTTTTAAAATTCAGATTTGCCTTCCCTCAATTATTTTGAGCCTCAGTTTAGAGACTGAGGGCAAATGGAAGCATATAACTTACCTGAGACAACTCCTTGTTTCCTAATACACATCTGTGGGTAATTTAGGAATACAGTAACATATCTGAAGAGTCATGTCTGTTCACTAATACTGCATTTAAACCAATTTGGAAACCTTTGCTATTAATATTACACTTTGTAGTTTTATGCTGCATTGTTAGCACTGCTTATTTCGGAATAGCTACAACTATCATTGGTTTTGTGTGCACTTATTACTAACAAATTTTCTACTAATAATGATGCAAAATTGATCTTAAATAATTTTATTTGGTATAAAACACTTACTTTAAGGGGAAATAATGAAAAATGGGTGGGTAGGTGATAGTTAATCAACTGAAATGCAGAGTCTAATAACTTAAGCAAAAAAAGAAAAACTGAATGGCTTAAATTTAAGCATGTATACCAACAGGCAGAACTTGTATAAGATGAAAGGTTCTATAGGCAGAAGAGCAAATGGAGATATATAGGTAATGATTTATATATTATAATAATCAACAGAAACATGTATTTTAACAGCGTATTAGCATTTTGATTCACGTTTTTGCTGAAAGGAACTAAAACAAGGGGAAAGTACCCATGTGGTACTGTTCTGAACTAGAGGATTTCAGGGCCGCTGGGAGGGTTCCTCCCTTCCCCCATTTAAAAAATGTCTTCAGGCCTAACGATAAAATCAGTTGTTAAAATAATTTTTTTTTCCCTTCACAGTGTGACCTTAGCAATATATTACCACATAAAGAACAGGTGAGCTCCTTTAAAACCTGTCTTGTTATTCCAGATAATTACTTTGCATGATGTCAAGTTCAGTATTAGGTCATAACTATAGACATCATAAGTTGTACAGTGCTATTACAGTATTGACCTGAATCATTTATGGGTTTTTTTGGTCCCTAAGACTGTTTTAACTCTTAAGTTACTGAGGATCCCAAAGAGTATTTATGTTGATTATATTAATATTTATTGTATTAGAAATTGAAGTTGAGAATTTTAAAACAACACTATTTTTAGTTTTAGTTTCTCAACCTTGGCACTGTTGATATTTTGAGCTAGGTAAGTGTTTGTTGTGGGGACTGTCCTGTGCATTGTAGGATATTTAACAGCTGTCCCAGGTTGTGACAATAGAGATAACCCCTGACTGAGAATCATATTGTTAATATAAATAACATTTTTTCAATAACTTTCTTTTCCAGCAACAAAGTTGCATAAAATGTGTGTCATATATTTATATGTTTGCAAATCTCTAATGTCAGCTTAATAGAAAACAACTGGATTCTCAACTCTGTCTTTGCAATTAGTTTTTTTTTTTTTTTTAATTTCAACTTTTATTTTAGATACAGTGAGTACATGTGTAGGTTTGTTACATGGTTAATATTGCACCCTGGTAGTGAGCTGTAGTTTTTTTTTTGAAGTGATGAGAAGATGGCCTAGCCTCTTACAAATATATAGTTGGTAAAAGGTATATTTTTAAAGCTTTCAGATGGTTCTGGGTATTCTTAATTTTTAATTTTTATTTATTTGGTTCTTTCTGAGATGGAGTCTTGCTCTGTTGCCCAGGCTGGAGTGCAGTGGTACAATCTCAGCTCACTGCAACCTTCGGTACAAGTGATTCTCCCGTCTCAGCCTCTCAAGTAGCTGAGATTACAGGTGCATGCCACTACTCCTGGCTAATTTTTGTATTTTTAGTAGAGACGGGGTTTCACCATGTTGCCCAGGCTCATCTCAAACTCCTCAGCTCAGGCAATCCTAACGTCTTGGCCTCCCAAAATGCTGGGATTACAGACGTGAGTCATCATGCCTGGCCTGGTTCACGTTTCTTGATAATGTCAAAAGCTCGCTTTTGTTAGTATCACTACTGATTGTACTAAATAGTCTTTAAGTATTGAGAAGCTGTCAAGATCATGGTATAAGGTACAAGTTTCTCCAAATCCTGGTTTTCAGCTTAAAAGCTTGAATTTTATCATTGGCAACAAATAGTTATTTTTCTTTCTTTTTTTTTGAGATGGAGTTTTGCTCTTGTTGCCCAGGCTGGAGTGCAGTGCACGATCTTGGCTCACTACAACCTCTGCCTCCCAGATTCAAGCGATTCTTCTGCCTCAGCCTCCCGAGTGGCTGGGATTACAGGCGTGCACCACCATGACTGGCTAATTTTGTTTTTAGTAGAGACGGGGTTTCACCATGTTGGACAGGCTGGTTTTGAACTCCTGACCTCAAGTGATCCACCTGTCTCGGCCTCCCAAAGTGCTGGGATTACAGGCGTGAGCCACCGCACCACCCAATAGTTATTTTTCTTGAAATGACAGGCTCACTTCATTATTTTTTAAATTTTTATTTATTTATCTTTTTTTTTTTTTTTTGAGACGGAGTTTCGCTCTTGTTACCCAGGCTGGAGTGCAATGGCGCAATCTCGGCTCACCGCAACCTCCGCCTCCTGGGTTCAGGCAATCCTCCTGTCTCAGCCTCCTGAGTAGCTGGGATTACAGGCACGCGCCACCATGCCCAGCTAATTTTTTGTATTTTTAGTAGAGACGGGGTTTCACCATGTTGACCGGGATGGTCTCGATCTCTTGACCTCGTGATCCACCCGCCTCGGCCTCCCAAAGTGCTGGGATTACAGGCTTGAGCCACCGCGCCCGGCCTTATTTATCTTTTGAGATTGACTCTCACTGTGTCACCCAGGCTGGAGTGCAATGGTGCCATCTTGGCTCATTGTAATGTCTGCCTTCTGTGTTCAAGTGATTCTCCTGCCTCAGTCTCCCGAGTAGCTGAGACTGCAGGTGCCCATCACCATGGTTGGCTAATTTTTGTCTTAGTAGAGACAGGGTTTCACCATGTTGGCCAAGCTGGTCTTGAACTTCTGACTTCTAGTGATCCACCTGTGTCGGCCTTCCAAGGTGCTGGGATTACAGGCATGAGCCACTGCGCCTGGCCACTTCATTCATTTTTGCGAATGATAGTTGTACTTGCAAGTAAGAATGTTACTCTGTGGAAAAAAAAAAAAAATGGCTTGTTCAGCTTACAGTTAAATCACAAGTGCTTTTTCTTAACACATCTATGCCTCATTGGCAGAAGTACTTTATGTAAACTTTCCACTTACTCAGAATAGTAAAAAGAAAGGTCAAGATTTAATAATACAATTAATTTTTACTACTTCATCAAGGATATTCTTTTTTTTTTTTTTTTTTTTTTTTTTTTTTTTTTTTTTTAAACTAGAGAGGGGGTTTCTCTGTGTTGGTCAGGCTGGTCTTGAACTCCCAACCTCAGGTGATCCGCCCGCCTCAGCCTTCCAAAGTGCTGGGATTACAGGCGTGAGCCACCGCGCCAGGCCCGTCAAGGATATTCTTTTAAGTGAAGCAGGTGTTTTTCTTAAACTGCAAGAGGGAGTAAGGAATAAAATGAGTAGTATAATTTGGTAGCACTGCCTTGATTCCTGCTGAGAAACCAGCTTACCCACTATTGCTGTTAGACATTTCATTACAAATGTCAAACAGTGAAAAAAGCAAGCAATCTCTTAGTATTTTTTAAAATTATTTTTATTTTTAAATTTTCAGTCAGCTTTCTCAGGTTGAATAAGTATTTTTTATAAGAACAGTTTTGACCTCAAGGGCCTGTTGGTAAAAGGTCTAGGAGATCTCCAGAAGTCCACAGATCACACTTGGAGAACCACTGGTTTTATTAAATGAGCACAGTGTATTAGTTTTATGAACTTGTAAGATGATCAAAGACTTGTCTCTTTTAAAATAAAAAGACAATAAGGTTTTTAACTCATCAAACTACTTAAAAAACAAATACATGATAAGAATGTAATACAGAGAACTAGAGGGGAAAAGCCTGGGAAGTCTGAATCTCATTCATAGTTATTAAAGTTCTAAAGACTTTATTGCCCATCACTACTGCTCTGTAAAATGTTCTTGAGTCCCAACGAGGGGTTAGAAGAGTGAAAATATGTTTATTACCATGGCCTGTTAGGGAGGGTCAATACTTAGAAAAGACTACACAGTACAGGACTTCATGTGGTGAGTAAAAAGAGGTCTGGAAATCCTCTGAAGGCTGGGATACAGGAGAAGAGTTGGTACAGCTGTTCACTTTGGTGAAGTAAACACCAAAGCAAGCAGGAGTCGTCATCTGCCATCTCCAGCAGATAATAACTAATACTCAGATATTAACAATTCCTGCATTAATTTATTCAATGATATTCTTATTTTGTAGAGATGCAAATAGATCCCTGGATATTTTTGATGAGAGATCACATCCACTTACAGTAAGTGTCACTTTTTTTGAGGTAGTATTTTTCTTTCAGAGTTGTGTTTATTTCATGCTGATATTTATAAATAGTCCTAATAAATATACATGATCTCTATGAAGATAATTAGAAAACAGTTTAAATTTAAATCAATTTAAATGATATAAACGTTTCAAAATTCACCTCCTCAGGTATATGTTAGCCCCTTGTGGCTAATGACTACTGTATTGGACAATGAAGCCTTAGAGCAGGTGTCCCCAAACTTTTTACACAGGGGGCCAATTCACTGTCCCTCAGACCGTTGGAGGGCTGCCACATACTGTGCTCCTCTCACTGACAACCAATGAAAGAGGTGCCCCTTCCTGAAGTGCGGCGGGGAGCCGGGGGCGGGGGGTGGGGTGGGGTGGTGGTGCGAATAAAAGGCCTCAGGGGGCCGCGTGCAGCCCGCGGGCCAGGGTGTAGTTTGGGGACGCCTGCCTTAGAGCCTTGTGGTTACCAGAAACTGAAAATATTTTTTCAAAGTTTGTTTAAGAGAATCATGACATACGATTGAGACTTTTCGAGACTATCAGTAGTTTACATTTTGATAGAATTCTGTGGAGGGAAAGTGGAAAGCAACATAAAAATTTTCTGAGTTGTGCCTGTATTTTTCCTTCGTGATAAATGGTGATGAGTATTGAATCAATCATTATGATACTTTAAGGTCCAATTGTTTATATTTTAAAAACTAAAAGACATGTCACTCAACCAAAATTATTTTAAGGGGCACATGGGCTCAAACGTGAATACTGCTGTCTTAAGAGTACACAGGCTGGGTGTGGTGGCTTACACCTGTAATCCCAGCACTTTTGGAGGCCGAGGTGGGTGGATCATCTGAGGTCAGGAGTTCGAGACCAGCCTGACCAACATGGTGAAACCCTATCTCTACTAAAAATACAAAAACTAGCTGGACATGGTGGCGGGTGCCTGTAGTCTTAGCTACTCAAGAGGCTGAGGCACGAGAATCGCTTGAACTTGGGAGGCAGAGGTTGCAATGAGCTGAGATCACACCATTGCATTCCAGCCTGGGCAACAACAGTGAAACTCCGTCTCTTTTTTTGTGGTGGGGGGACAGAGTCTCATTCTGTCACCCAGTGCAATGGCGTGATCTCAGCTCACTGTAACCTCCACCTCCTGGGTTCCAGTGATTTCTCCTGCCTAAGCCTCCTGAGTAGCTGGGATTACAGGTGCGCCCAGCTAATTTTTTGTATTTTTAGTACAGACAGGGTTTCACCATGTTGCCCAGGCTGGTCTCGAACACCTGACCTCTGTTGATCCACCTGCCTCAGCCTCCGTAAGTGCTGGAATTACAGGTGTGAGCTATGGTGCCAGCTGAAAGTCCAACTCAAAAAAAAAAAAAAAAGAGTACTTAAAATTTTTTCCTTCAATGGATACTAACATTGCATCTTTTCTTCTTTCAGCGAGAAAAAGTTCCAGAGGAATACTTTAAGCATGATCCTGAGCACAAATTTATTTACAGATTTGTTCGTACTCTTTTTAGTGCTGCACAGCTAACAGCTGAATGTGCAATAGTAACTTTGGTAAGATATTTCTCATTTATAAAGCATCTTTAGAAATTAGTCTTGTACACAGGGTCTGGTCCTGTTTTTCAAATAAAAATAGATTCCTGAAATTATCATCAGAACTTAGAGAAACCTATGAAAGGAAAGTAAATACATTCACATTTAATCATCATTATGGTGGAAAGTATTTCCATTGCTTTTCTCATCACAGAACAGTTGCCACAAAAGGTAGCAGTGGAGATTTCTGGTTTCTCCTCCTCCTCCTCAATGCACATTCAGTATGCACACATACAAGGCACAGTGGCAGAGCTGGAGGGTGATGGGAAATGATAACAAAACCATGTGGTCCAGAGGCAGATACTAATTCCAGTGTAGGTCTAAGCCAAGTCCCAGGCTGTATTCCCCAGGTATTTCCGACATGTGTTGTGACTGAGAACTATTCTAAATGTTTTGTTCCTTGGATGATGGGTTTTAATCCGTCTCTGCCTACCCCCTTGTGCCTGCTCATGATGTTGCCCAGCAATGTGGTACCAGTAATACATGAACAAAGGCTTTTCTTGTTAGCTTACTAAGCTATACCTGTGTGTTTAACTTTACGTCCTCCATTCAGAATTCCTATGGTAAGATTTTATCATTGAATAATAAATCCTATTCAAGTGGTTAGGATTGTTTTACTCCTTCCCACAGCAAACCTGTAGAGGAAAGTCAACTGCATGGCCTGCAGGGAAAGAATATTGAGGTCAGTACCTACTCCTTTAGCATCCAGTTGGAATTTAGGAGAGGCGGCTTCTGATGTGCACTTGCATAGAAACCCCTCATTGGGTAATGGATCAGACATAGGGCTGTAAGCCATTTGGTATACTTAGCACATGCTGTAGAGAAGCAGGAGTGGTGCTTCCAGAGAGAGAGAGACAGGCGATGCAGGAGGGAGAGCTGTATAGGAAGAGAGGGAGTTCATTATAGATGGGTTAAGCTATATGTCCCTGTGAGGTAGCAGAGTGGCAGTGTCCAGTAATCATTTGAATATACCAGACTGGAGCATGAATCTGAGCTTAAAGGTAAGGAATGAAGAATAAGAGTAGCTGTTCAAATACAGAGAAAGGGTGCAGAATGAAAGTGGACCAGCTAGACGTGGTGGTGCGCACCTGTAGTCCCTGTTACTGGGAGAATCACTTGAGTGCAGTAGTTTGAATCCAGCCTGGGCAACATAGCAAGATTCGTATCTTAAAAAAAAAAGAAAAAGAAAGTGGATAGAAGATAGATCTCTAAAGACTGTTAGCATTTGAGGGACAAGCCCCAGATGGAGTGAAAGGAGGAAACCCAGAAGGTAATAAAAGAAGAACAAAGAGTTCAAGATAAGAGAGGTTGTGGTCCCAGTGTTAAATGCTGCCAAGAAGTTGCTGATTCTGTAAATACTCACTGGATGCCTTTTCTGTGCCACTATTCTTTTTTGTTTAATTAAAAAAAATTTTAAGACTTTTTTTAGTAGAGCTAGAGTCTAGCTATGTTGCCCAGACTGGCCTCAGAACTGGCCTCAAGTGATTCTGCCAGAGTGTTGGGATTACAGGCGTGAGCTACCAAGTGCTAGGGTAAAGGAGAGGACAGACTGAACAATGTTCTTGCCTTTATGAGCTTATTTTTTCAGGTACTGGTAAGTAGCAAGAAGATGAAGCAGGATAAAGGGATACAGAGTGACAGGAGGCTCTCACTGTTTTAGAAAGAATGATCAGGAAGAACCTCTCTAGAGGTATCATTTGAACAGTGACCTTAAGGTAAGGGAAGGTAAGGAGTGCTGGCATTACAGGCAGCCAGACAAGTACCAAGATTAGACAGGAACCTGATTTTTTGTGTGTGTTCAAGGAACAAACAGCAAAGTGTACAGTGTGGTTGGAGTGAGAACTGAGAGAAAGAGTGGAGAAGGTGAGGTCACATGGGCAATGCCACACATAACTCATAGGGCCTTTTGGCATGCAGGCCACAGGAAGAAGTATTTTTGTTTTGTTTTGTTTTGTTTTGTTTTGTTTTGTTTTGTTTTGTTTTGTTTTGTTTTGTTTTGTTTTGAGATGGAGTCTTGCTCTGTCATCCAGGCTGCAGTGCAGTGGCATGATCTTGGTTCACTGCAACCTCTGCCTCCAGGGTTTAAGTGATTCTCCTGCCTCAGCCTCCCAAGTAGCTGGGATTACAAGCATGCACCACCACGCCTGGCTAATTTTTGTTTGTTTTTCTAAGTAGAGACAGGGTTTTGCCATGTTGGCCAGGCTTGTCTTGAACTCCTGACCTCATGTGATCTACCCACCTCAGCCTCCCAAAGTTCTGCCAGGAAGAGGTTTTTATTCCAGTTTGTTGGGTAACTTTTGGTAGATTTTGAGCAGGGGCGTGAAGTGCTTTTAATTTAAGAGGTCATACTGACACCTTGACGAGAGTAAACCGTAATAAACAGAATCGAGGTAGAGAAGAGTTAAGTAACTAGGGTAATACAGGTGATCAGTGGCGGCTCAGAATCAAAAGCAGGTAGCCTACCAGTGAAGGTGGACAGAGCAGGAATTGTTCACAGTCTGGAATGGGGTAACTTTAACGTAGGCATTTGGTCTTAGCAACTAGGTGAATGGGACTGCCCTGTACAATATTAGGGACGGCTTGGAAAGTGGAGCAGTGGGATGAAGAGCTCTGGTTTGTAAAGTGTGAAGGCTTTGGAGACCTTGGCAAGAAGAGTCTCAGAAGAGTGACAGCAGCAAGGGACAGACAGGAGTGGGTTAAGGAGAGATGGGAGATGAGAAGCTGACACCAGGGCATGATGATTAGAGCAAATGAGAGGACACATCCGGCGGGGTGGGGGGGTGAACAAAGGAAACACATTGGGGAAAATCTGGCAGAGAAGGCGAAAGCCTTCAAAAAGACATAATTGTGGGAATAGTATTCTGCAGAAGTGGGATGGGATCAACTGGCACTGATAGAGTTGGCTTTAGTGGGAAGAAAAGAACTTTCACACTGACGCAGGAGGGCAAGTGGTATCAGTGAGTGTCAGCGCATCATCAGCTTACCAGTAAAGGCAACAGGAAGTTGAGGGATTGTCTGTGTTGTTTCACTGCTATCTAATTATTCCCATTGAGAGTTGAACTCTGTGAAGGAGGTTCATTCTTAGGATACTAAGAGTGCAGAATTTGGGGGAAAGGGAAGAGGATCTCTTAAGAACATACCATGTTCAGGCCAGGCGTAGTGCCTCACGCCTGTAAATCCAAGCACTTTGGAGGTCAAGGCGGGTGACCTGAGGTTGGAAGTTCAAGACCAGCCTGACCAACATGGTGAAACCCCATCTTAAAAAAAAGAAAAAAAAAGAACATGTCATGTTCAATACACGTTTTTGAAAACACAGTTGAGTTTGAAGAACACTGCCAGATCTGAGCTGCCTATCTGATAACTTTCAGACAATAAATAAACTCTTAAAATGAACGTTGGTTTGTTTTTGAGATGGAGTTTTGCTCTTGTTGCCCAGGCTGGAGTGCAATGGCATGATCTTCGCTCACTACAACCTCCGCCTCCCAGGTTCAAGCAATTCTCCTGCCTCAGCCTCCTGAGCAGCTGGGATTACAGGCATGTGTCACCATGCCTGGGTAATTTTGTATTTTTTAGTAGAGACGGGGCATCACCATGATGGCCAGGCTGGTCTTGAACTCCTGGCCTCAAGTGATCTGCTTGCCTCGGCCTCCCAAAGTGCTGGAATTATAGGCATGAGCCATGGCTCCAGGCCTGTTGCTGGCCAACATGGTGAAACCCTGTCCATACTGAAAATACAAAAATTAGTCAGGTGTGCTGGCGGGCACCCAGCTACTTCGAGAGGCTAAGGCAGGAGAATCGCTTGAACCCAGGAGGCACAGGTTGCAGTCAGCCAAGATTGCACCACTGCACTCCAGCCTGGGTGACAGAGCAAAATTCCATCTTAACAAAAACAAACAAACAAAAAAAACTTAACTTTGGTCTTGATAAAGAGTTCAAACAGCATATACTTTTCTGCAGAGAGCCCTTTGAGGTAACAGCAAATCGCAGCTTACCTCTGTAATCTTTTCTCAGCTGTCCACTTTGCTCAGTTCTTTGAAGGATGTTTGGTAGATGTAAAATAATTCATGCAATAGTCTCATAAACTGCTTTGCAGGTTTAGAGGAATACCAGGGGGTCCAGAGACATCCGTTTTTCCATGTACAAGTGTTTCTTGTGGAGACACTACGGTGATTTATTTTACAGCCCCAAAGACCTGCACCTGTCATGCTGCTTTGCACAGCAGCCACTGGGTGGCTCTCTTGACCAGCAGTTCTTCAAGCTAGTGACACAAAAGGGTTAGTTACTGTGAAAAGGAGAAGGTAAACATGTGCTCAGTGTTACTTGGATTTTATATATTTGAGCATAACTACCTGTAAAACTACTATTTACCATCTAGGTATGATACATTGAGAGTGCCTCTCTTTATGATGCCTTTTGCTGAGATGTTCAGTCATTCCTGTGACCAAAATTGGGTTGGAAATGTAGATGGGCAGAGCAAGCAGCAGAGATATCTGACCTAGAACTGTGATTTGGTGTCTTGCTTTGGCTGACTAAGCAGAGTTGCTGAAGAACATAAGAATAAAAGGCACTCATTTTCTGGTCAAAAACAGAATAAATCTGTCATTTGTAAGAATTCTTATCAAAGCATTTAAACTGAACTGAAATCAAAGACCAGTGCTCTATTTTACAGGTTTATTTAGAAAGGCTTTTAACTTATGCCGAAATCGACATTTGTCCCACTAATTGGAAAAGGATTGTTCTGGGAGCCATTCTTCTTGCCTCCAAGGTTTGGGATGATCAGGCTGTGTGGAACGTGGACTATTGCCAGATCCTCAAGGACATTACCGTTGAGGACATGTGAGTTTGTAAGGTTTTGGTGAACTTTCTAAAGTTAACACTTTAAGGAATATTTTTAAAGGTTATATTATACAGATAATGGAAATAGGCATAAGACTATGTCTAGCTTTAGTATAACAGTTCACAACAGAGCAAGACTGTCTCAAAAAAAACTTACTTCCCATTTTTCATCATTAATTGATAGGTTTTGATGTGTAATAGTCTGCTTGATAAATTGAAAAGTCTTTTTCTGGTGTTTTTTGGCAAACATCTTACAAGTGTACTACCAGAACAACATAGTACAGTAAATATCTTTATGGCTTTTAAAAAGTTATCTGCCAGTTCAGGCTCCTTTCTCTTTTTCATTTATTTATTTGTTTATCTTTTCTTTTTCTTTTTTTTTTTTTTCATGTGACCAGTGTTGTATAAACAGCCCCTAAAGGACATATGTCTGGCCTTTGAAATAATTGGCCACTCTTCAGGTCTTAGGGCCTCTGGACTATTGAGAGGTTATAGCTTCAACTTGAGTCACACGTTGTATATTTGCTTTTGCTAGTCTTTTTCCACGTTTTATCTGAAGGTCTTTTTACAAAAGCCTTGAGATATGAAGATCCCTGTGGCCCTGACCCCCTCCCCATTAGGAGAGTTTCGTGTGTTTTGAAATTGGTCTGATGATTGATGAAGCTCCAGTGTTCCCCTCAGGCAATCTGAGAAGCAATGTTTCGGCATCACCCAATGCCCACCACACTTGAGAGGCTCCCTGGGCGCTTGGACAACCACAGCACCACTTTGGGGGCCTTGAGTTACCTATGAGAGTGTAAGAAGCCTTGCTGAGTCATGGAGTTCCTCACAGATGGCACCAACATGACCCTGAAAGAGTGGCTTCATCAGGGCTTCCTTCCAGTCTGGCCTCGTGACTGCTGTGAAGGGAAGGGCCTTGGAGCTTGGTAGGCAGCGTGAGCCAGGGAGGCATTTCCAGCAGAGGCTTTCAGGGTGCCCACTGGACAGTGAGAATGGCGTTGTGGGTGGCACTCAGAACAATGTGAAGGAGCACCTCTTGATTATAATGTTGAGCATCAGAGGAAGATTGAGGTCATGTCAGGCAGTGGCAAGAGCTTGTTTTTATTGCCTTTGCCGTTACTCCATATGACTGTCATTCAGAATCAGCATACCATATACTCACAACTGAAGTTAGGAGACTTGTGACTAAAAAGGAACCAGTAATTGTGGTAGCTGTTGAAGTGGCTTTTGGTGAAGTTGACCACTTTACTAATGATGTAAACCAAACAGCCATGATGATATAGCTGGTAGCCGTTTTAGCAAAGGATGTGACAGCAAATAACTTTGAAACAAATGTAAGTACTTTTGGAAGTTGCAGAAGCTAAAGTGACTTTGATCACTGCTGTCATCAGTCTGCAAAGTAGTTTATTGAAGGAAGCAAAATTTATAATTATGAACACTTAGCCATACCGTGATGGCAGCTAAAATGTTGTCAAAATTTGCAACTGAACTGGCTGGGACTCTAGTTCTAAACCCAAGATGAGAGAACACAAAGGGAAATGTGCAGGTTTCTACAGATGTGAGCTTCAGGAGCAGCGGTGGCAGGGGCCAGCTCCAAAAAGACCAGTTCCAAAGACTAGTGCTATTTGTGTATGCCCAGGGAAACACCAGGAGCTCTGCTACTAACAAGCTACTTTTGTTTATGATCTTTGCAAAGCATTTTAACAAACTGTTTAATATACATTTATATATTAAACAAACGTCATCCCCCTGCTGTTGACTATTTGTAGTGGTCTCAATTTGAGTCTAAATTTAAAAATTTTATATTGGTGTCTTTCAGGTTTTTCTTAAACTTTTTCAACATCTACATGTCATGTTAGAATATATTCCCTTTAAAAGAATAAGTTAAACTGAGCAGCTGCTATTCAGACGGTTTCCTCTGCCTGTAAAGGGTATGCTATTCAGCCATCTAGCCATTTAAAAAACAATAAAAAGCCTAGAAGATGCATATTCTATGGGCATAATACTTTTCTTCAGTGATTAAACCTCTATTAATACATGTGTTAATCCTATGAAGTACTGTATTTCTACACAGTTAAAATGTATTAGTGGAAAAAAATATAAAAGGGATTGTGAAGTGCATTTATTACTGCAGTAAATTAAGTCCTGATTAGCTGATTATCAAAACATTATCTGATTTACATTTCTATAGACTTTTGGACATATAAACAGGAAATTAATTTTGGAATTAGGTTCAGTTGGGTTTTTAAGCTCAGCAAATGAGAAAACCACATCTCTGCTCATATTCTAACTGCCCTCCATACAGGGGATCATCAACAAGTATTTGTTGCCTTAGCCAGTGAATAAAATATTAAAATTTTAAAACCAAGAAACCAAATATGTTGTTCAGGTATTTATCATTTTTGTACAGTTAACTCCTTACAGAGATTACTGTTAAAGTGGTTAAGATTTTCTCTAGTTTTATGTTTATTTGCTTAAGCGTTTGGCAAGGGCAGCTCTGTGGTCATGTGGCTGAGGACTACTCCGAGCACCTTAGGGTTTCATTCCCAATTCAGAAGAAACGCCTGAGTTTATAAATCCAGTGACCTACCAGAAGTCATATCAAAATGGGTTTAGTCTAGCTGAGACATCCACCTTTGATCCTTTTACCTTCCAAAATTTGGAGAGTATCCTTACCCTGCCATAGTGACAATTTCTCACCTTCATAATATTAAAGTGAGCAGGAACTTGCATTATGCCCTTTGACATAGACTCATGCACTGGGACAGGAGGAGAGGATTCCCTTCCCCTGTAATGTGGCTTATTTTATTTATTTGAGATGAATCCTTGTTGCCTCAAGAGATTTTCCCCCTCAGAGATAATAGCAGTGGCTCTCGATGGATCCATTTGTTGCCGTGGTGATGTGCCCACTCCTTTTGTTGGTGCTTCTCTACTTCAATAAGCCCATTCCTGTTATCAGCCCGGTGAAAATGTCTGCAAGTTCTTCAGAGCTAATAAACAGCATACATCATTCCTTTCATCTGATCACTATAGTGGGGCCTTGTGAGTGAGCATGAAGTATGAATTGTATAGCTGCACTAATGGAACTCTGAAGAATGAGGCCCGAATCAGCAGCACAAGTGCATCAGAGGCCTTAACCCTTCAACCCTCATCCCAATCCCAGAGTGCTGGGGTGCAGAAGGAACCACAAGTAACTGTACCTTGTGTGAACATTAGTATGTTAATGCATCTGGGTAACCTATATTTTAAAACAGAGTTTAGAGCCATTCTGGTAGCTCAGAATGATGTTTCTGAAGAGAGCCCAGTTAACTAACATTGTCCTATGCTGGTTCTGTTCTGTTCTTCCTCCTCCAGGAATGAAATGGAAAGGCATTTTTTGGAGCTGCTTCAGTTTAATATTAATGTTCCTGCCAGTGTTTATGCCAAATACTACTTTGACCTTCGCTCCTTAGCAGATGACAACAACCTGAATTTTCTGTTTGCTCCTCTTAGCAAAGAAAGAGCACAGAACCTAGAGGTAAGGCTGTGAAGTCACTAAGTGGTGTTTTCCATCAGCCACCAAAGCCAACATCTGTGACTAAATCATATTAAGTAGTGATTAGGAAAATGGAAAGCTTTAAAATCAACTGACACACTGAAGAGCTTATTAGCCCTTTGGCATCAGATTTCCTGTGTCTTTTATGGTTTATACAAGGATCAACATTATTTAAAAATTATACGTACTGCCTCTTCTGTGACCATAATTCAGAATATCTTAAATCAAATTTAATCTGTTCTTAATGGGTTTCCTTTTGAACTTCTGTCCTTTCACATAATCATACATGAATAATTTTTTTTAGCTGGGTGCAGTGGCTCATGCCCGTAATCCCAGCACTTTGGGAGGCTGAGGTAGGCAGACCACTTGAGGTCAGAAGTTCAAGACCAGCCACTGGCCAACATGGTGAGACCCCATCTCTACTAAAAATAAAAAAAAATTAAAAAATAAAAAATTAGCTGGGCATGGTGGCATATGCCTGTAATCCCAGCTACTTGGGAGGCTGAGGCATGAGGTCACTTGAAACTGGGAGGTGGAGGTTGCAGTGGGCTGAGATCATGCCACTGCACTCTAGCCTGGGTGACGGAGTGAGACTGTCTCAAAAAAAATTTCTTTGTGACTATATTCCTAATTTTATCTACAGACATAATTCACTTGCCACTCCTGACTGTATTTATTCTGTTTGCAAATTCATATCATTGTTTATATATCACATTGCAGTCCCATAAGTTTTTTAGACATAGGATTAGTGGCTAAGCCAAGAGACCTATACCCTTTACTATATAGGGTGCAGGTGTTTCAAATGCTGGATATAAGGGCTGGGCGCTGTGGCTCACGCCTGTAATCCCAACACTTAGGGAGGCCAAGACAGGCAGATCACTTGAGGTTTGGAGTTCGAGACCAGGCTGGCAAACAAGGTGAAACCATGTCTCAACTAAAAAAAATATAAAAATTAGGTGGGTATGGTGGCAGGAAGCTGTAATCCCAGCTACTCAGAAGGCTGAGGCAGGAGAATCTTTTGAACATGGGAGGTGGAAGTTGCAGTGAGCTGAGATTGTGCCACTGCACTCCAGCCTGGGTGACAGACCGGGACTCCATCTCAAAAATTAAATAAATAAATAAAAAATAAAAACCCATGTACTTCCTACGTCCAGTATTTGCCTGTTTGTTTTTTGTTTTCCTTTTTGAAACAGTGTCTTGCTCTATTGCCCATGCTCGAGTGCAGTGGCGTGATCTTGGCTCACTGCAACCTCTCCTCCTGGGTACAAGCAATTCTCATGCCTCAGCCTCCTGAGTAGCTGGGCACCTGCCACCACACCCAGCTAATTTTTGTATTTTTAGTAAAGACAGGGTTTCACCTTAGCCTTCCAAAGTGCTGGGATTACAGGCATGAGCCACTGTGCCCATCCAGAAATGGTAACTTTTTTTTTTTTTTTTTTTTTTTTGAGACGGAGTTTTGCTCTTGTTTCTCAGGCTGGAGTGCAATGGCGCGATCTCGGCTCACTGCAACCTCCGCCTCCTGGGTTCAGGCAATTCTGCCTCAGCCTCCTGAGTAGCTGGGATTACAGGCACGCGCCGCCATGCCCAGCTAATTTTTTGTATTTTTAGTAGAGACAGGGTTTCACGATGTTGACCAGGTTGGTCTCGATCTCTTGACCTCATGATCCACCCGCCTCGGCCTCCCAAAGTGCTGGGATTACAGGCTTGAGCCACCGCGCCCAGCCCCCAGAAATGGTAACTTTTATGGGGCAAAGTAATATTTATGGCTCGGTGAGTATACAGAAGAATTACAACTGAAACGAACACATATTTTAAACTGATACTTTTTGTGGTGCCTTGGTGGTATTTTAGAATAATACGTATTTCTAGGCTGGGTGAGGTGGCTCACACCTGTAATCTCAGCACTTTGGGAGGCTGAGACAGGTGGATCACTGATGTCAGGAGTTCAAGACCAGCTGGCCAACATGGTGAAACTCCGTCTCTACTAAAAATATGAAAAATTAGTTGGGCATGGTGGCACAATGCTTGTAATCCCAGCTACTCGGGAGACAGGCTGGAGAATCACTTGAACCTGGGAGGTTAAGGTTGCGGTGAGCTGAGATCATGCCGTTGCACTCCAGCCTGGGCAATAAAAGCAAAACTCCCATTTCAAGAGAAAAAAAAAGAATAATATCTATTTCTACCGTAATTAACGTGCAAGTGAAGTAGCACCTTTTTGTGCTTCAGTCATTAGACCTCTCATATGTTCCAGTATAGTCCAGTGCACACCTGCCTCATTAAAGTTTACGTTGAGTATATATAATAGCTAATAAGGATTGGGTAGAATTTGAATAGCTGAATAAAATTTTTTGCACAAGTGTATGTTCATTATATTTAAGGAATAAGTGCACAGGTAACAGATGCTATTGCTGTTAGGAGCCTATCACAATATCTTTGACATCTTTGGAAATCCAATTTTTCAATAACTTAATAAAGTAAATTCCCTTTTGTTCTCTGTCAATGTAATCATAGCCCTTAAGGGATATTACCTTGGTAAATTAGCAGAAAGTAGCATCCCCAGAACCTGGCAGTGTAAAACAGCTAAAGTAGCTGTAACTGTGAACTATCTAAAGGAGTCTACATGTGTGGCTTTCATCAATGGTGCTTTTTTTTTTTTTTTTTTTTTTTTTGAGACGGAGTTTCGCTCTTGTTACCCAGGCTGGAGTGCAATGGCACGATCTCGGCTCACCGCAACCTCCGCCTCCTGGGTTCAGGCAATTCTCCTGCCTCAGCCTCCTGAGTAGCTGGGATTACAGGCACGCACCACCATGCCCAGCTAATTTTTTGTATTTTTAGTAGAGATGGGGTTTCACCATGTTGACCAGGATGGTCTCAATCTCTTGACATCGTGATCCACCCGCCTCGGCCTCCCAAAGTGCTGGGATTACAAGCTTGAGCCACCGCGCCCGGCCTAATGGTGCTTTTTTAAAGGTGGGTACCCTTTTTAAAATTGTACCTGTTTTCTATCTGATTAACTTCCCTAGGCTATTTCTAGATTGTGTGAAGACAAAGACTTGTGTAGAGCCGCTATGAGAAGGTCTTTCAGCGCTGATAACTTCATTGGTATTCAGCGTTCTAAAGCCATCCTCTCTTAAAGGGAGAAATGAGGGGTTATAACGTCACGGGACCTTCATCTACAAAGACTGAAGAAATATCACCTTTCCTGCTCAAGAACCAGCAAATTTAGTGTTTTCATCAAAAGGAAAGATCTTGAATTCAGGAGACTCATGGACAACAAGGATTATACTCCATAGGAAAGAACGGGACCTTGTCAATGCAACAAAACACTCTTCTGTCCTTTTTAATGTAAACAGAGTTAAAAACCACTCCAAAGTGAAGGCTCCCATCCCACACAGATATTTGCTTACTGTGTGGGCCGATAGCTGTGAACTATGTAAGGTTTTATAAACAATAGTTTAAATTTTTAGACTTTAAAGACACTAACCATATAACTTTTATGTTTCTTCCAATTTTTCTCCCTCCCTTCCATTTTGCTGCATATGCCTTTAAAATCAATGCAGTATTACCATTGAAACATGGGACTCTAAAGCCACTAAGGAGTGGACTGCAGCATTGTTAGGTATGGAAGGGTTCTTCCTCCCTGCTGTTACCACTGAAGCTGCTAGTCATTGGCAATCATTTTAAACCAAAAAGCTGCTGGATAAAATTTGTCATTCATATTCTTTGCAAACGTTACTTTAGCATTTTAGCATGTTTGGGGTCATAAACAGAGGAAGTATCAGTTATTGATATCTACTTCTCTTGGGGTCCATGTTGCATTTCTTGTGAACTATAAATGGTGCTTCTCATTTTCTGATAATTTTTCTCTTGTTGAATAAATGTATTAAAAGATATTTTCATATTGCCAACCAACATGGTGGTTCAGTGACAAAAGTAAAGCAGTTTTAAGCTTTAATATAGTTTGGGCCCTCCAAGGCACTGCAGCATAATATAAATGCTATAAACCTTTAAAAGATATTGTTTGAAAAGTGTTTTTTTTTTTTTTTAGTTTTTAAGAGATGGGGGTCTTACTGTGTCATCCAGGCTGGAGTGAGTGCCTGTTCACAGGTACAGTCATAATGCACTGCAGCCTAGAACTTCCTGGCCTCAAGCTACCTTCTAGCCTCAGCCACACGAGTAGCTGGGACTATAGGCATACTCGGCACTTGTCTCCTGAATATTAAGCTTTTAATTTTTTGTTTCAGTCACTCTTGAAGACAGTAGATACTGACTGAAAGAAAAAATTAAAAGCTTTATATTCAAAATTTGCAAAATGAAGCTGGGTGTGGTGGTGCATGCCTATAGTCCCAGCTCCTTGGAAGGCTGAGGCTAAAGGATTGCTTGAAGTCAAGTATTGAAGGCTACAGTGTGCCATGATGGTGCCTATAGGAATAGCTACTACACTCCAACCTGGACGTCATAGCAAGACCCCATGTTTTAAAAAAATGAAAAATGCGAAAGAAATGGGTTGGGCATAGTGATTCATTCCTATAATCTCAGTACTTGGGAGGCTGAAGTGGGAGGATTGCTTGAGCGTGGGAATTCAAGACTAGTCTAGGCAACATAGTGAAACCCTGTCTGTAAAACAAATAATAAAAATAATTAGCTGGATATGGTGACGTGTCTATAGTCCCAGCTACTCTGGAGGCTGAGGTGAGAGAATCACTTGAGCACAGGAGGTCAAGGCTGCATGGGCCATGATCATGCCTCTGCCCTCCAGTCTGGGTGACATCCAGACCCTGTCTCAAAAGGAAAAAAGGAAACCATACAAAAAAAAAAAAAGGTTTTGTAAAGGTTTGTGGCATTTATACTTCTACAAGTATCAAAGCTTAGAATTACACTAAACTTTTGGAATACCTTTTATCTCCATAAAATGCCCTCCTCTTTTTAAAAGTAAGTTACTTGCAGGGCTGTGCTCTATTTGCATTGATCCATGAAGTTTCTTTAATGTAAAGGAAGATTTTGAAGAGCAGTGTTAATTAACATGTAATAAATGGAATTGGACCCTAATGATAGAAGGTGATATGAATAGCTGTTTTATCATCCTACATGTTACCAGGCTGTAGGTGTCCCATTAAGTCCTGCTATTTCAGAAATAACTTACATAGCCCTTAGGAACTCTTACTTCAGGCTTTAAAAGGCAATGAACAAATAACTTTAGGAGACTGGTAACAATGTCACTTAAATTTGAAATACTAAAAAGAGATTAGTGTTCTCAACAATGTGAAATCTGTTTCTCCTATTTTCTCAAATATAATCCGAGGAATCTTGCTTATAAACAAAGCATTTCTGGGCCAGGAATACTTCCTCTAATATAGCAGTGCTTCCCATCATACTGTGCTGCAGTTTCCATCATTTTTAAAGGACAGACACACAAATGATAAATAATGGTGTAAAAATATTACAATCTACCACCTCAAAAAAAAATTGTTTATGGAGTTCAGAGCTTGGAGATTCAAGTATTGATTGCAGTTTTATTTTGAAAAGAATGCTACAATTTATGTGGTTTTTATTTCTCATGTTTATATTAAAAGAAAAGCTAATAAACTCTATTTTAATTAAAATATGTCTAGTGTGTTTGTAACACTTCAATTCACATAATGTTACATCTCTGCCCACCCTAGTTGTAAGTCAATCCTGATATGTCTTAAACCATTTTCAAACCAACCATAAGTTGATTTGATCCATTTATGTTGGTCTCTAGTTAAGATGTAGTAATCCGTTTCTTTTGCATGTGCTCTTTTCAACCTGAAGCTAATTTATTACACTTAAAATCACTGGCCATGGTACTTACTGGCATAGTGCATTAGATGGCATCTCGAATAGTTATAGTGTCTGAGAGGGAAAAGCACATTAGAATTTAAGATTAAGTAAAATGTACCAAAGGGAAAGGAAGTAACAGGAATAGTGTAGAATTAGAATGAGGTATTTGAGGTTTTCAAACAGTTAAACAGGAAAAAATGGAAAGACAGGAACTAGAATCTGTGTTGCTGTTGAAAGGGTGTTTTAAGCCACATAATTTGACTTTAACATCGTATTTTCAAGCTTACATTTCAGTTAAAAATCTACCAAATCACTGTTGGGTCAGCTTTTGCAGTTCTCACTAAATCCTGATAGTATTGCAATATTTTCATCCACTTTAAATCTTCATTACCTAAAGTCAAATAAGTAAATTATCACGGCCAGGCATGGTGGCTCATGCCTGTAATCCCAGCACTTTGGGAGCTCAAGGCAGGTGGATCACTTGAGGCCGGGAGTTTGAGACCAGCCTGGCCAACATGGTAAAACCTCGTCTCTGCTAAAAACACACACACACAAAGCCAGACGTGGTGACGCGTGCCTGTAATCCCAGCTACTCAGGAGGCTGAGGCAGGTGAATCCCTTGAACCCTGGAGGCAGAGGTTGCAGTGAGCCAAGATCCCACCACTGCATTCCAGCCTTGCCAACACAGTGCAACTCCATCTCAAAAAGTAAATAAAATTACACAAACATGGCAGGGTGTGGTGGCACACACCTGTAATCCTAGCTACCCAGGAGGCTGAGGTACGAGAATCCCTTAAACCCAGGAGACAGAGTACAGTGAGGGCGCGATTGCACCACTGTACTCCAGCCTGGGCGGCAGCATGAGACACTGTCTCAAAAATTCTAATACCTGATCACCATATCTTGATAAGTTGCTGACTAGGATAAATTATCTAATTTAACTTAGAAAAAAAAATCTATCACAGGTGACTTTTTAAAATGGTTTGCACCCTGTGATAATGTCAGTAAGCAGGAATGCTGACATTCGAGTGGTCAAAGGTTTAAAATACAGTTTGGAAGAGCAACATTGGACATGAATCTGTGACTTGAACAAGTTGGTAAAATAAGTATCACTAAAGTTGCTCTCTTCCTTTGACTTTAGAAGGCAATACAGCGACTTTGATAAATGGGAAATTGGGTCACTTGAGGATAATCCATATAAATGTGACTGAAACGCAGGTAGGTTCTCTGACAAATGTTCTGGGGCATGGAAACCACATTGCTGGTGGGGTGGTAACTGGCATTTTTCTCAAGAATTCTATACCTAGGGAAGATTTGTTTACTAACATAACTTTAAAAAAAAAAAAAAAACGATCTGGCAGGGCTCTGTGGCTCATGCCTGTAATCTCAGCACTTTGGGAGGTCAAGGCAGGCAGATCACCTGAGGTTGGGAGTTTGAGACCAGCCTGGCCAACGTGAAACTCCGTCTCCACTAAAATACAAAAATTGGCTGGGCACGGTGGCGGGTGCCTGTAGTCCCAGCTACTCAGGAGGCTGAGGCAGGAGAATTGCTTGAAGCAGGGAGGCAGAGGTTGCAGTGAACCGAGATTGCACCACTTGCACTCTAGCCTGGATGACAGAGCGAGACTCCGTCTCAAAAAAGAAAGAAAGAAAAAAGGACTATCTGATTACCTAGACTCAAATTTATTTTCATTTGTAGGTTTTTTGTTTTTTGTTTTTGTTTTTGTTTTTTTCTTTTTGTGATGGAGTCTTGCTCTATCGCCCAGGCTGGAGTGCAGTGGTGCAATCTCAGCTCACTGCAACCTCTACCTTCCAGGTTTAAGCGATTCTCCTGCCTCAGCCTCCTGAGGAGCTGGGATTACAGGTGTGTGCCACCACACCCGGCTAATTTTTGTATATTTAATAGAGACATGGCTAAATTTTGTATATTTAATAGGGTTTCACTATGTTGGTCAGGCTGGTCTCAAACTCCTGACCTTGTGATCAGCCCACCTCAGCCTCCCAAAGTGCTAGGATTACAGGCATGAGCCACCGCGCCTGGGCCATTAGTAGTTTTTTCAAACTACTATAATACAGACCCCAGTGAAATGTTAACTTTGGTATATTGTGAACTGAACTTCCACATCTTCATTACAAGAAAAAGACAAATACCTGAAACATATTTGGTAGGAGTCTGGGGGGGTGAAGAGTTAAGAAAATGAAAGACATATTTGAACCAAATTGCCATTTTCATAGGCTTTTTGGTTGCCTTTTGGCAATTTCATGGGGTTCACCCTAAGATGACCACTTAGAGCTCAGTATTTCTGGTTAAAGAGAAATTTTATCCTAGCCCCTTATTTTACATTTCCTTTTTATGTAATCCATATGTCTATACTTTACTGAAATCCAACAGCACTAAATCTTGGCCTTATAACAGCTCAAGTTTCATTTCTTGGTCTAGTTTTCCTACATTTCTAAGTATTTCTTTATTTTTTACTTTTTAAAGCCAAAGCCAATTTTAATTAGAATACAGATTCGGTCTTGATTCTGTGTTCAGGCTATGCAGTGTTTCTAGAAACTAGTTTAGCTACAGTATGCAGGTTAACTAGAATCTTTCATCAGCCTTTCTCCCTAACCACATTTAAAATAGCTATGATGAACTCTTAAGCAGACTTTTTTTTTTTTTTTTTTGAAACTGAGTCTCGCTCTGTCGCCCAGGCTGGAGTGCAGTGGCGTGATCTTGGCTCACTACAACCTCCACCTCCCAGGTTCAAGCGATTCTTCTGCCTCAGCCTCCCAAATAGCTGGGATTACAGGTATGCACCACCACGCCTGGCTAATTTTTGTGTTTTTAGTAGAGACAGGGTTTCACCATGTTGGCCAAGCTGGTCTCAAACTCCTGACCTTGGGTGATCTGCCCACCTCGGCCTCTCAAAGTGCTGAGATTACAGGTGTGAGCCACCACGCCAGCCTCAAGCAGGCTTATTAAGTATAGTACTACTTGGAAAAGCACCTGACAGCTTGCAGAGAAATCTCCCAGGAAGTGCTAGTTTCTATGCAGAATCTGTAGATTGCACCCAGCACCTCTCAACAGATTATTTTACCCTAAAGTCTAACTTCTGCCTACGTACCCATCTGTAGACCTGGCTGGGCCTGATGATGTGCCAGGAAGCAATATCTAGGAGCTCTTCAGTGAAGCCTGCTCCCTGAGTATACAGGAGCATTCTGTTTGGTTTCTAAGGGAATTTCCATTGAACTATTTGGCCAGTGAGAGAACATGCACTTAAATATGAAATAAATTTTAAGAATAATATTAGTTTGTGGTTTAGGATATCTAGGGTACAGGAAGAACAACTGACTGAGAAAGTGAAATGGTATAGAAATTAAGAGGAGTCCTGAGTTCAACGAAAAATGGTTAACAGCCTTTAAAAAGGGACAGGTTTAGTGATTATTATAACTTCTGTAAGGGAGTAAAGCAATTGCAATGTGATTAGGAAATTCAGTAATGGTCCAGAACCTAAGGTCTTCAATGAGCTATCAGTAGTATCTACTTCAAAAGACCTCAAAGGATTCCTAAATTAGACTGCTAGCTTAAAAAAAAAAAAAAAAAAAAAAAAAAAATCTTAGGCCGGGCGCAGTGGCTCATGCCTGTAATCCAAGCACTTTGGAGGCCAAGGCGGGTGGATCACCTGAGCTTGGGAGTTCAAGACCAGCCTGACCAACATGGTGAAACCCCGTCTTTAAAAAAAAAAAAAAAGAAATCTGTTGCTTCATCTTATTAACTTCAATTCTATAAATGCTTACCTGCGACCTTCAAGCTGGTGGCTCCCGTGTCTCCTCAGTATGAGAACTGTCTCTGACAAAGGCGGAGCTTCAAGTGTTTTATGCACCTCGTCTTCCAAACCCTGCTTCACTCTTAGATGAAGATCTTTAGGACCCTCCCTCAACAAAATCATCCTGGTCTCACCATTACCCAATGTGGCAATGCTTAATGTTGGTCACTGTGACCCGCTGCCAAAGCATTAGCACCAGGTTCCAGGACACGCAGGCTTCATCAGGCTCACAGGTCTCTTGCAATTCTCTTTCATTACTTACTTGAGCCCATCTGTGTTCCTCAAAACAGCTGTTCCTAACTTACTTCCCTTATTCGTTCTCCTCACCTGCTCACAACCCTAATCATGCATCCTCAATGTAGGCTGAGGACTAAGTGGCATCTGCACCTTCCAAAACCTACTATTTCCTCTGGCATTCGATGCCTTCTTTAAAATAACCCTTCTCATCTGGTGGAGAGGATTCCATCTCTAACTCTAAAATCAACCTTCTTTATCCACCCTTTCCACTACTTTATTCCCTTCTGTTTTAAAATTGCATTCACCTCCCCAATTTGGGGATGCAGTTCCTTAAATGCCCCAGTGTTTCTCACGATGTGGTCCCCAACCCACCTGTCTCTCATCAGCTAAAAGTGCCTGTGAAAAACAAAGCTTCTCTAAATGCAATGTGGTGTCCTGCACTGGATCCTGGAACAGATAGAGAATGTTAGTGGAAAATCTGATGAAGTCTTCAGTTAATAGTAATGTGCCAACATTAACTGCTTAGTTTTAACAAATGTTAACATCAGGGGAAATGCGTAAGGGGCATACAGAAACTCATTTTGGCAACTTTTGGTAAATCTAAAATTATTCCAAAATTAAAAGCTTATTTAAAAAAAAAATAGCTTATTGGGTCCCAGAACTACTGAATCTCAATTCCTGGGGCTGAGGCCTGTGAATTGACATTTTTAACACGAACCCCAAATGATACTTACGCAGATACAAATTTGAAA